TTTTGATCTTTGATTTAATAGAGAAGTGAATCGGGATGTTCTTAGTTCAAATTTATTTTAGGAAAACACATTAATTAAACTGAAAAAGACAAACATTAAAATAGGTAATATCCATAATTATTCAATGGCATGGTAGTGTAAATAATTTGGAAAATTAAGGTGCATATTTTATTGATACTTCTCTTTTAATAATAGAGATATCTATAACCATGATTGGCAATATAAAGGTATAAACAAAAATTAAAGCTAAATAAAAATTTTACTGACCAGCTAATCACCTCGATTTTTTAGCTTTAGACGTGAAATATATCTTTGAATATACAATTTTAACAAGAAATAGATGTTGCAATCTCTTTTTCATAAATGATTCTTTTTCTAAATTAAAATATATTAACAATTGTCCCTACCTACAATCAAGGGCGAAGCTAGTAAGAAGAGAGGGGTGCACGTCCACCCATACTATTTTCAAAATATAGTGTGTTCCTCGGCTCAATTTCATATACACACATATTGTTATTGATAAATTTACACTAGTGCACCCAGTCAAAAGCCAATTTGAATTCGCCACTGCCTACAATGATCTGTCTAAACTATTTTGTGACATATTGGTTCCTTTTTTAGTATACACTTTTTGTCATCTATTAGATTACAATAACATGAACAGAAGTACATAAGCCAACAAAGACAAGCCGCCGAGTCGACGATTGAGGAACAAAATCTCTCTGGAACCATAAAATGGAAAGAAACATATTCTTTTTTGAAACCAAAAGATTAAAAGAGAAAACAGTTATTCTTAGGTTCACCCCAAAGGTAAAACTCTAGATTCACCGCAACTAATAGAATTGTGTTATTATATATTTAATATTTTTAAAAATATATATATATATATTGTCAAATTATATTATTTTTTTAAAATAAAAATGTAAAATAAAAAAATTTTAAGAGTTAAAAAAAAACAAAATATTCTTTTTTATAATATTTTTAACACCATTAGCAAAACACTAAACTCTAAATCCTAAACCCTTTTTTAAAACATAAATCATTGGATAAATCTTAAACATTATATCAAAAACATTAAAACTACATTTAAGAAAAAAAAACTAAACCCTTAATCATAATCCCTAAACCATTAGATAAAAATAAATTAAATTTAAAATATTTTTAGCGCCGTCAGTAAAATATTAAATACTAAACTCTATACTCTTGGATAAATCATAAATCCCAAGGTTTACAATTTATCCAAGGTTTATCCAAGGGTTTAAGGGTTAGGATTAAGAGTTT